GGAGCTATAGGAAATCACACATGATGTCCCTCGTGGGACGGTCCTTACTTCTCACTAAAGGACATTCTGGATGGGATTCACCAGAACTTGCTGGCTTTCCATAGACATGGATCTACCTCTACGCACTTTGGGACCTTAACCTCTGAGAAGGGACAGAAATTACAGAACCTATAGGAAATACACATTTTATGAATCCTCTAAGGAGGAGTCCTAACAGGAATAGCCCCACCCACTTCTCCTAGAACTGGCATAATTCCCAGGAACCCACTTAAAGAACCCGTGGTACTTCAAGATAATTTAAGCTTGGTATGCCAAGGAACAGCTAGAAGAGGAAAGAAACCATCCGTCCATGTAAGTTCATTGATTCTAACATATTTATGACTCTGGAGCAGGACGGCTGTGCATAGATAAAGAGGGGAACAGGGGAACTCTCTGCACCTTCTGTTCAATTTTGCTATGGTCTTAAAGCTACTTTTTGATACATTTTATGTAAAAAGAGTGGCGGAGACATTTTGGAATACATTTTGGCCAGTTTTTAGGAATGATATTTAGTCTTAGTCATGTTACTAGCAATTGTGCTCCAAATTATTTATGTATCTGCTTTTAAAACTATGTCTGCACAAAGTCTCCATGGGAAATGTTCCATCTGCTGGATTGATTGTTGCCTTTACCATTCTGAGAATCTTGCACATAAAGCCACCTTTGAAAGAAATATTTCCTATATAGAGTGCATGCATGTTTCTATTACTCATGTTCCTCAATTGCTTGGCACATTTTCTAAACAACTTTGAAGACTGTTATTTCTGTAAACTCAAATTCACTGCTGCCGCCTCCTCCCTGGGATTTCTGACACTCTCAGGATGTGGTTTTCACACTGTGTCTCTCGCACAGTAATACACGGCCGTGTCCTCATGTCTCAGGCTGCTCAGCTCCATGTAGGCTGTGCTCGTGGACTTGTCCGCGGTCATGGTGACTCTGCCCTGGAACTTCTGTGTGTACTTTGTGTTACCATTACCAGGGTAGATCCATCCCATCCACTGGAGCCCTTGTCCAGGGGCCTGTCGCACCCAGCTGATAATATAGCTGGTGAAGGTGTATCCAGAAGCCTTGCAGGAGACCTTCACGGAGGCCCCAGGCTTCTTCACCTCAGGCCCAGACTGTACCAGCTGCACCTGGGAGTGGGCACCTGTGGAGAGGACACAGCAGTGGGTGAAGTCTCACTTGACTGGCCTGGTTTCTCCCTCAGTCCTGGGACTGGGCTGCCCTTTACCTGTTGCTGCTGCCACCAAGACGAGGATTCTCCAGGTCCAGTCCATGGTGACGAGCTGTGCTCTGGGGCTTCTCTGAGGAGGGGTGTGGTTGTTGGGTGATGCTCTCAGTATTCACCTCAGTTATTTGCATATTCATGAAGGATGATAGTTATTAGCCCAGTTCCTGACCCAGTATGAGAAAGAGCAAATAGACGACACATGGACGACACAATCGTAGAAGCTGAGGGTTCAATCCATAATCCTGTTAGAAGCCATGTGTCCCCAACACATCCCTGAACTCTGTGTTGACAGAGCTTCCCAGACTTGGGAACAGGCTCCCACAGGACATGCACCTCACTTTGAACCCAGATTTGCGTGTCTCAGGGGCAACTTGAACCATTTCTAGACCTTGATATGTGAATGTGTTATTTTGGGAATGAGTGTGTTACTCCAAAGTGGAACTTATAAATAAGAATCTCTTCCTGACCTCCAGGTGCTTACTGTTAGGCTATCTAGCAGAGTTTGAAATCCCCATTGTAAAAGTGGGTCTCATTACAACATCCAGTTTGACAAATATTCACAATTGAACAGGATATTTATGTGAACATCAGCAGATACTTATTTTAGATATTTTTAAAGGAAGTCCCAGGACCTGAGAGGAAACCATCCCCAGCCTCTGGTGCACCTGCTCTGGGGCAGGAGCCTGTGCTGGGTGTGTCCTGAGCGCCCCCTGCAGCCCAGCTCTCATTCTGCAAGCAGGTGACACAGTATATTCCTGCCAGTGTCTCTAGCCCAGTATAAAGTGTCTGTGCCCAGGCCCAGAATTCTCCTGTAGTGACACCATATGCTGCACACACCATCTTTTGAAATACTGAATTGGCCTCAGGAAACCCAGAAAAGACTGCAGGGTAACCCTAAGAAAAGATCTCATGCATCCCCAGGGAGACCTTTCCTAGAGCTCAAGAGGCACTGAATCACTGGACACATGGTGAATCTAGAAACTCTTCAGGGTTTTGGGGGAGAGTCTTATTTCCTTTAGGATCCTGCAGTTGATTCTTACACCTGAGAATGCCTACAAGTGCAGGTGCACACACACACACACACTTTTATGTTAATTGGTCCCATGTTTTTCCTATGGAGGTGTTTGAGATCCTGGTATGTTCTCATTATTAATCCTTTGCTAGATGGGTAGTAATGTCTTTTTACTTCACACTGTGAGAGACATGATGTCACCATTCACAGGTGCATTCCTGGATATACACACAATGTCGATGGAAAAGAGTCATTTGGCAATGTTGCCTTAGACAGCCTCTGCCTGATGTCTCTGAGAGTCTGTATTTCTTAAAATAACAACGGGATGTTATTCTGTGCTCATTACTGGCATAGTATCACTGTTTTGTGTCAAAAATGGATCCACAGTCTAATGCAGTTATATTTGTTCCTATTTTGAGGGGCAGTTTTTCAGGTTTCTTCATGACCCAGAATGTTATTTTCTTTTGGAGAAAATGGGCCTAGCAGTATTTTTCAGGCTGGCCACGAAATCCTGGGCTCAAGTGATCTTCCCACATTAACATCCTGACACATGGCACAGTGTCCAGCTGATTATTCTTAAATTACGCTATTTCTCATTCTGCTAAACCAAGTGTTTTATTGCTCTCATGGAGCTGTCAGCTTTTCATTACTTACTTAAAATAAAAATATATCATGTGTATAAGGAGAACTTTAAGGTAGAAATGATTCACATTTGACTGCAAATAGAGTCACACAATGTAGAGAGTTCTGTATCTCTGCTTTTATGCCCTGCCCCTTTAACTATAAAAACATAACAGCCTATGCCATGGTGCACACAAAGTTATTCATGATTCTCTGTGTGACACTCCTGCTTCAAGAGCACAACACTGTATGTGAATAGTGGACCCATATAGTCTCACTGTGCCTCTCGCAGGAAGCTCCCCTGAAGCTCTGCCATAGGAGTGAGCAGGGTGGAGAATCAATGGGGTCCCTGTGTTTTTGGCCTATAATGCATGTCATGGAAACTCTATTTTTTAAGTGAAGCTGGGAGGAATAAACATCCATCACATCACAGATTGTAATTTATTCTCCACCGTAGAGATCTGACACCAGTGGCCTCGACTGAGATATGGGGGAGAGGAAGCACCATCTTCTCGTCAGATCAGCTGAAGGGCAAGACTCTGTCATCCTGAGCTGAAAATGAGAGAGTAATGCGCATCTCTTAAGTATAGTGAACCCTCACTGCCCTTCCTGAGACCTCATGAAGGTTTTAGTCTGTTTCAGCTGCTATAAGAGAACTCAGTAAAATGGTGCAGCTCAGAAATAACATCAACATGTAGTTTCTGAATTCCCAAGGCTAGGAAGTTACAGATCAAGATGCTTTTGAGATTCGGTATCTGGTGAAGACCCAATTAATGATTCATAGAGGATGCATCATCCTACTGTGTCCTCACATGGTGGAAGGGGAGCCGGAAAACTCTGGATTTGCCACATGAGGGCACTAATCTTACTTATAAAGATGGCACCTCAACACCTCCCCAAAACACCTATTCACTTACCCTAACACCCTCATGTTGGGTTTATTCCAACATCGATACTGTGGGGTTAATAAACATTCAATCTATAGCAGCATGTTTTATCGATCAATAACTTTCATTTACTGTGTTTTCTTAGAATAATTTGCATTGATGTTTAATGGCTGAAATTTCCATTTATTTTTACCAGATGTGGTTGTTTCAATGGAAAGCGTGGGGCTTCCTACACCATCACTCCTGTAATTAGATAACTCTATTCATCTGTCTTTAAAGTTTCTTTAGTAGGTCCATAAGTATTTTAAATATTTTTCTGCTAAGCCGACTGCCAAGATGGAGTTGATTTGTTCACCCTCTTTGATGGTATCACTGTTTGGAAATACACATTTCTAGCGATTAATGCAGTGAATTCACCTGCTTTTTATTTGGCTTCATCCAGATATATTTCTGTACATGTTAAACTAGGCAATTATTTCATATATTTTTCCATAGTCTTACACATTGAGAAAAGCCCATGTACAACTTGCCCTGGTTTCCCACACACAGGTCTACACTCTACAAAGCCGGGGTCACCCTCCTGCCATCTGTGGGGCTCACTCTCTGAACAGTGTTCTGCAATCCTCTGTGTATTCTGTGTCTCCTACACATCCTGGCCTGCTGAGATCTCAGCTCCTTTTCCTCAGCTTCAGATATACTTGTTCCTACCTGAGCACTGTGCCTGGAAACTCTCTCAAGAAGGTGACCATGCATTCATCAGCGGGCTCCGTTTTATGCTTTCTCTCTTCAACAATCACTGTCCTTATTACTTGATGTCAAACATTTTAAAATCATGTTTAAGAAATGTCACTGTTTTACATCCAGTGGAAAGATATATCTTGTTTCTGTTGTACAGTTTGTTTGAAAGTGATCATTTTGCAAATACATATTAGAATCAATTTTATAATGTTTGCCAATATTTATGTATATGTGTGTGTATAATACCCACGAAAATCGCAATTCCAGGGTGTCCTGCACAATGACGAAATAATCCTGAAGAACATCCTGGAACAGAGGAATGTAAAATTACAATTGTTTGCTGTCTGCACACATTTTCATATGCCTTCCAATAAATTAAGTAAAACGTGCGTCCTGTATAAAAATCCGCAGCGTGTTAGCTCTGACAAGGCACCTTTCTCCCTGCACCTACAGGCAGAGCTATGTACTTGGATCATGCATCTGGCTGCTGCTCTCCGATGTGCACGACGTGGCTCATGCCGAAGCCCATGTCCTGTGCTCCATTCTCAGGAAGAGAGTGATCTCTGCACTCATCTGAGCCAGAGCCCCTGCTGGGGGTCTTGGGGGTTTCCTGAGGGGCAGCTTTGCCTTGCAGAAGACTCAGTGATATTCCGGACTTTCTTAGCACAGTACAGAAATATAGGAAATTTCCACGCAATCCTCCTCCCCTCTCTCCTTCACTCAGGGACAGGCTTCCATCTTATGCCATCAGCTTTGCCTCATTTGCCCTCCACACATTTTCCCTCAAAAGAATTGATGCCCTTCTTCCACAAACGCATGCAAACTTAAACAACTCCTGGAGATTTCTGCTCGAAAGATCAATAATGCCACATATAGTTTAGCAAATTATTATAACATGAGTCTGATCGTATTATAAAATTTAAAATATTAAGTATTAATATTAATATTGCATTGATTAATGTTAGCATTAAATATTAATCAGTGTAAAATATAAAATATTAATCATGGTAATAATCGGTTTTGAGTGTCACCTGGACTGGAACATAATGTCAGTTATTCAATCAAACACGAATTCAGGTGTTGCTCTGACGGGACGCTACAGGCGTTATTAAAGCCTGTCATCACTTTTCTGCAGGTCAGGAAGATTGTCCTGGATGAGTTTGGTTGGTCTGATTTAATCCCAGCAGAAGAGACGATAACGGAACCCTATGACTTGGCTGTGGAACGTCCTCAGGAATTCCAGCCTGTCTTATGGTCGGCTCCATTGTCTTTAGCTGTGCCTAGCCAGACCTCACTACTGCTGTCACACAGAGCACACAGCACAACAAAGTGTCTATCCTCAGCTCTCTCTAAGTTACAGGTGAGGGGGCTCTGCGACAGGGTGAGAAGCGCAGGATCAGCTCTTCATCTATATCCCATTTGAAGAAATGACTATCAGTGTCCACTTGCATTTCCTAAATGCGTCCATGCATAGAAGACAGCAGGGGCGTCAAGGCAATGGGGGATACGAAAGACCTCTCAGCCTTCCAGGTTCTGCAGGAGCCACAGCCTGAGCCACCCCTGATTTCCAGGTAATATGTCTGAGACCTGCGGTTTAGACCACAGGAAGCCACACACTCCATTTTCAGAAAAAAGAAGGAGAAAAGGGAAGTGTAAGAATGAAGGCCTGGAGAAAAGGAAAGGGAGCAGCAGATAAAGGGACAGATGGACTAGTCCTGAGCCATGACGTTCAGCTTTAAAGGACAGTTCCTCTGAAAAATGACAGGGTTGTAAGGACTCATGGGCCTGGATGAGCCTCCCTCTTGGTCCCAATCTGAATCCCAAAGTCTGTTCCAATCAGGGATTCCCACGGAGATGTCTGTCCTGAGTCCTGAGTGGAAAACTCTTCCCCAGCTTCTCCTGGGCTTCCTCAGGACTCTGATTCTGGTGGCCAGGGGAGGGCCATTTCTGTGCCCAGGGTGACAATCGGGCTTCTGTGGAGGTGAGGATGTGTCCTCCTGCTAAAATAAACACCGGGGGGAAAGGTTTCACATTCAGAGACATTAAGTGTTAGTACAGAATCATAAATCTGCAAGGTTCTCTGAGGAAACCTGATGAGGAGTCAGCCCCAGACCATGGCAGGAAGCCAGCCCTTAGCAGCACCTACACCTGCCCGAGACAGCCCCGTGCACAGCGCCCGGGCGCCCCCCTGGTGGTCGCGGGGTCCCCTGCAGGAGGTTTGTGTCCGGGCTCACACTGACTTCCCTGTCTCTCGCACAGTAATACACGGCCGTGTCCTCGGCTCTCAGGCTGTTCATCTGCAGATACAGCGAGTTCTTGGCGTTGTCTCTGGAGATGGTGAATCGGCCCTTCACGGAGTCTGCGTAGTATGTGCTACCTACCATCATATCTAATGTATGAAACCCACTCCAGCCCCTTCCCTGGAGCCTGGCGGACCCAATTCATGCTATAGCTGCTGAAGGTGAATCCAGAGGCTGCACAGGAGAGTCTCAGGGACCCCCCGGGCTGAACCAAGCCTCCCCCAGACTCCACCAGCTGCACCTCACACTGGACACCTGCAAACACAGAGACACCCTGGTCAGAAAGTGCCACAAATATCCACCGTTTATCTCACTCTTATCACTCACACTCAATTTCAATAGTTCTCCATGAATTACCTTTTAAAATAGCAACAAGGAAAACCCAGCTCAGCTCAGTCTTCATGGTGAGTGCCCTGTGTGCCTCCTGATCAGCAAGCAGCTGGGCTGGGCTCCTCTCCCAGAGCTGCAGGGTCAGGGCTGCGCTGACTTTCATCAGCAGAGGGAGGGCCCTATTTGCATGTCTCCAGCTATATAGCAAGCTGAGGGGTGAGACACGTAAAGAGCAAGCAGGACCCGAGCAGATGAGGGTGTCCTGAGGAAAACTGGTGACAACACCTGGGTTTGAGAAAATGTGCTTATTATTAAATTGTACTGTGATAGAAACTTTGCACTGATCGCCTTATTTCAGTTTTATCTATGCGTGTAAATTATGTTCCCCAGGAGTCGATGTTCTCTATTTACAGATGTGAAAGTAAGCCCACACATGGACGGGCTCCGTAGGTATCTCAGGGTTCATGTCTGGGATGAGCGAGTGCTGGTATCTGGGCCTGCGCTTCTCACCACCGGCCCTGACTCCTCCCTTAGCCAACTCCAGGGCAGAGCTGCACATGCCTAGTGTGGTTTGCAGAAGCCACTGCTGGATCAGATCAGAATAGATGTGATTTTGCTGTATTCTCCTGTTTACCTAAAACTATGGAGAGAACTAGGGTTCAGATAGATCTCTGACAATGAACATACTGGCATCTATCTTTCTGCCACTCCTACCTTGTCTGATACTCAACTTGTTTCATTGTTATAAATTCTATAGGGTTTGATTGACAGATTATACACTTTACAGACTTAAAGTATAAAATTGATAATCATGACATAACTATTACCATTATCAAGAAAGTGGACAAGTTAAATTACCTCAACTTTTCTTCTGTCCTTCTACATTTTCTTATCCTTTCTCTTTCCCTTCTTCCAACATATTCACAGACAACTACTAATCTTTTTTTTTTTTTTTGCTTTTTTTTATACTTTAAGTTCTGTGGTACATGTACAGATTATGCAGGATTGTTACCTAAGTATACACATACCACAGTAGTTTGCTGCATCCATCTCCCCATCATCTACATTAGTATTTCTCCTGATGTTATTCCCTCCCCAATCCCCTCCACCTCCTGTTTCCCCACCCCCCAGTCCCCCCATCCTCTCCCTGTGTCCAGATGTTCTCATTGTTCAACACTCATTATGAGTGAGGAAATGCAGTGTTTGGTTTTCTGTTCTTGCGTCAGTTTGCTAACAATGATTGTTTCAAGTTTCATCCATGTCCCTGCAAAGGACATGAACTCATTCTTTTTATGGGTGCATAGTATTCCGTGTTGTGTATGTGCCACATTTTCTTTATTCAGCCTATCATTGATGGGCATTTAGGTTGGTTCCAAGTCTTTGCTATTGTCAAAAGTGTCGCAATGAACATACATATGCATGTGTCTTTATAATAGAATGATTTATAATCCTTTGGATATATACCCAGTAATGGCATTGCTGGGTCAAATAGTATTTCTATTTCTAGGTCCTTGAGGAATTGCCACACTCTCTTCCACAATGTTTGAACTAATATACACTCCCACCAACAGTGTAAAGGTGTTCCTATTTCTACACATCCTCTGTTGTCTCCTGATTTTTAATGATCGCCATTCTAACTGGTGTGAGATGGTATCTCAATGTGGTTTTGATTTGCATTTCTCTAATAACCATTGATGATGATCATTTTTTCATATGTTTCTTGGTCCTCATAGTTGTCTTCTTTTGTAACGTGTCTGTTCATATCCTTTGCCCACTTTTGAATGGGCTTGTTTTTTTTCTGTAAATCTGTTTTAGTTCTTTGTAGATTCTGGATATCAGCCCTTTGTCAGATAGGTAGATTGCAAAAATCTTTCCCATTTTTTGGGTTGCTGCTTCCCTCTAATGATTGTTTCCTTTGCTATACAGAAACTCTGGAGTTTAATTAGATCCCATTTGTCTATTTTGGCTTTTGTTGCCATTGCTTTTGGTGTTTATACTCACTGTCCTACCAGACTCACACAATGAACCTGGTAACTCGTTTGGAATTGTGGAGACCACTCGGTTTCTGCACCTCTCTTGCTGGGAGCTGCTTTCTGGGCCTCTTATTCAGCCATCTTGGGATCGACCATTCCTTTTCTTTATAATTGGAACAGTCACAAAAATCTTCCCTTCCCAAAGTGTCTGTCTGAAAGAATATGAGAGACCACACTTCTGATATGTGTCCAAGCCCAACTGTCTTGTCTTATCCCCACTATAGAACTAAGAAATTACTCCATGAGGGAGAACCACCAACACACGTACCCTAAAGGCACTGCTGCAACCTATTCAGGAATGGAGATGGGAACAGAGTTCCCCACCAAATTGTACTGGGAATGCAGTTCCCTGTTTCTTATGGGATCAGAGCCTTAGTCTGCAGGGCAGGGCAGTAGATCTGGAAGGTGATGACACAGGTGGAGAACACTAGAGCTGTGGAGGAACACCTCTGGGGAAACAGGGAGACTCTACCCCAGGGGAAGTGGCAAGAAAACACAGACCAGCATGTCATCTAGAGAAGGGTCAGGAACAATCGCAAGCTCAGGCCCTGACACAGGGTCACTCTTAAGAATATGGACCAAGGTATATGGACCTAGGGATATAGAGCCTTTAGTCTAATGCCTTGCACTGATTTAGAAATTGTCGGTAAATAAAACAGGTGCATGAACCTGAGGGAGCTGAAAGAGATTGTCTGGAGGACAGAACAAGGTGAAGAGACAAAGTCAGGTAGAAAAGACAAGGAAGATGCCATTGAAGATCTGTAGTCTCTGGTAGACGTAGAGTAACAGACTTCAATTAGTTTTGAAAATTTTATGTCAGTCTTTAGTAATTTTATGTGATAAAACAGTCAGCCTCATCAATGGAATTCTTTTATGCCCATAACAGATGAGTATCTATGTGGCATGTGGTGAAGTTCTAGTCATGAGGACAGGGGAGATGGTCTGTTGAGGTGTTCCTAGTCCTTCAGAGGAGAGTTGCAAACATGTCTCTTCCCCACATCCAGCCAATATTTAATACATGTGTGTGACCCCTGGGAATGCTGTCACCATTCAGTGCATGATGG